TCCCGATTTTCCCGGACATGTCCGGCTTTTGGGGATTTCCCCCCGGACGGGGATTTGAAGCCTAAAAAGCCGGACATGTCTGGGAAAATCCGGACATATGGTAACCCAATCTGTACTGGGACCTGTGCTGTTCAACATATACATTAAAGTTTGCAGACAATACAAAATACAAAGTTTGCAGAAAATACAATTCAAGATAGTTAAGTCCAAAGCAGACTGCGAGGCATTACAAAGGGATACCACAAAACGGGGTCACTGGGCAACAAAATGGCAAATTAAATTCAATGCTGACAAATGCGAAGTAATGCACATTGGAAAAAATAATCCAAGCTATACATACAAAACAAAGGGGTCTAAATTAGCTGTTGGGATCCAAGAAAGAGATCTTGGAGTCACCATAAATAGTTCTCTGAAAACTTCTGCTCAGTGGGTTCTCCTGTCACACAATGGGTTAGCGCACGGTACTTATAGAGCAGTGCTGACTAGAGACCGGCTGAGGTAGTGAATTCAATCCTCACTTAGAACACTGGTTTTAATTAACCAAATTGCTTCACCCACACATTTAAAACACAAAACAAAACAAAACCAGCAGCCAAAAAGGCTAACTGAATGTTAGGAACTACTAGGAAAGGGACAGAAAATATCATAATACCACTATATAAATCCATGGTGTGTCCACACCTTGAATACTGTGTCCAATTCTGGTCGCCTCATTTCAAAAAGGATATAATGGAAAAGGTTCAGAAAAGAGCAACAAATATGATCAAGGGGACGGAACTACTTCCATTGAGGAAAAACTAAAAAGATTAGGGCTGGTCAACCTAGAAAAGAGATGACTAAAGGGGAATGTGATAGAGGTCTATAAAATCATGAATGGAGAAGTGTTATTGACCCTTTCACACAATACAAAGCCCACCGGTCACCCGATGGAATGAACAGACAGCAGGTTTAATACTAATGAGAGGAAGTAAGTTTTCACACAAACACACATCTAACCCAGGGAGCTCATTGCCATCCAATGTTGTGATGGCCAAAAGTATAACTGGACTCAAAAAAAGAACTGGATATGTTCACGGAGGATGGGTCATTAGTGGTCTTAGCCAAGATGGTCAGGGATGCAATATCATGTTCAAGGCAACCCTAACCTCTGACTATCAGAATCCAGGAGTGGAACACTCCATAATTGCCTTGTTCTGTACATTCCCCTCTGAGGCTGAGGTATGGGCAACTGTTGGAGACATGATACTGGGCAACATAGACCATGGTCTGACTCAGTATGGCAGGTGTTATGTTTGTGTGTTTTTATAGTAGTAGTCTATTTGAGTACAAGGCAATAAAAGTGAAAAGTTGTAACGATTGTAACAATGCAGCATATGCAATGCTAAAAAGTCTTTCAAGAAAGCCTACTAGCAGAATACAAACACTTCATGAAATGATCAGAATGAAGACTCAGAACAATGCGTAGATTTTCTTTATAAATATTTATGACACCTGTTTCTGGTATCCATCTCAGGAGGTTCTATCGAACGCCACAATTTAATAATGCATGTTTTGGAAATTTTTTCTTTTTTTTTAATAAGAAACTGCTGAGCTTTTTATACCCTTCTTATAAATGGAAGATGCTTTAAATATACCAG